AGCAGGAGCCAAGGAGATTTATGCATTGGCATCACAATATGGGCAACTCTTCTCCCATAACTCTGAACTGAGCATCCCAGGATGCAATTTCACCCATGGAATCAGGCAGAAAAAGAAGCTGATGGCTAACGAGTACCGTGGCGTTTTGCTAATCATCGCTGCTGTATTGAGATCACACAAGGGTATCGAAATACTAAGGAAAAGCCAACAATTCGAGACACCACAGCTCCGAAAGGACTGGTTGAGGCTGGGGGAGATGCTCTTGGAATGGGAGGCATTCCTGAATGAACCAGAGATGGATGTTAAAACAATCAAGCGCTTGAAGAAGAAACATTGCTTCATCATGTACCTATTGAAGAAAGTGTTGAGGAGAGCAACAGGAATGGGTTTGAAATTGATGAAGTTTCACGCGATAATGCACATGGCAAATTATATCCTTTTGTATGGCGAACCTAAGGAACACGACACAGGATCTAATGAAATTGGCCACAAAGTGACCAAATTGGCAGCACGGCTCACCCACAAGAACATGGCAACCTTCGAATTGCAGACAGCTACACGGTTGCTTGAATTTATGGCCATTCAGTGGGCAATGGCTGAGCTTGATGGTCTTCGATGGTGGGAGTACTATGGAGATCACGATCCAATGGGTTTCGATGATGATGGTGGCGAAGGACAGAGGATGAGGACGAAGGACCCGGAATAATAATGATGCAAATGCAGAGAATCAGCAAGGTGGTGATGCAGCAAATGACAAAGGTAGCGACGGAGACTCGTATGATAGTGAATGCCCATGCAGATAGGGAGGAAAGATAGTGATGGAGAGGAATCGGAGCCGAATGCAGTTAGGCATCATCATCTGTGTCTTCTTGCGAATCGTCGCACTTCCTTCCTCATCAGTTGCCTCTATGGCTTCCTCATCTGCCTCCTCTTTTGCTTCCTCATTGCCGTCTCTCGGTACCAAACCGCGGTTCAGCTGCTGGTTTTCTTTTGTCTTCCTCGCTTTCAAACCAATACCACACCATCTTGCATGGCCCAAGCAATTATCTTCCTCCACCATGTCTTTGTGGAATGGCTGGCATTTGACTTGATGTGCCTCTCTCCTCTCCTGCAGATCTTCTAACTTGCCGTGGTGCTTTAGCGGGTCTTCCAGTGTCAGTGGCACCAAGCCTGCAGTAGTCATGTCCCTTTTCTCCTAGTACTAGTACTTCTTGTTGCTTTGCCAATGCCAGTGATTCTGCCTTGCTGCAATGCAACTCCGAGATTGGTTGGTGTGAGCACTTAGTGCCCTCTTGCTTTCAAAACCAAGCTTTACAGTAGTCGCAATACCAATAACCCATGATACAACTAGTAGTAGTAGCTAGCTAGTAGTAATTGCCGATCGCTAGCCCTGATAAAGGAACTGTAATACCTTAGGCAAAGTCTACACGACCTTACAAAATGTGAGTGTGGTTACCAAAGCTAACCCCCAAACCGCTCTGTACCGGATTCTGTATGTAGTTTCCATGTTCATTGGTATGGCATAGGGACAAAACGGGACCACAAAATTGGTCGTACCTATGGGGTTGGGAATTTAGGATGCATGCAGGGTTCCAAAACGTGCATACTGCCACACCCAATGGAGAACCCAGTACATGTTCCACAACAAACACCATCCAAATCCGGGAGCAATGACGTCACCAATCGCCTAGGGACGCATGTCGTTCGGTACCTTCCAGACCTCGCTGTTTTCGCGAGACCCCATTATGCGCTTCTTAGATGGACTCTCCCGGTACAAACGGATTTGGACATCGAGAACGAGCTTGATGAGGACGGCCAATTACCTCAAATTTCAATGGAGAACTCAGATGGAATGGAAGTGGACGTGTCTGTTTGGTCTGTTCATTCTTCGCCTCGTCTTGTTTGGCGGGTTGCCGACAAGGCATTGGATAAGCGAGCGCGTGGGTCAATGGATTCTGACGAGGAAGAGGAACCAATGACGGATGTTGCTGCTTCCATGCAGAAAATGAAAATCGTTGGAAAGAAAAAGAAGCCTGGCAGGAAACGAGGTTGAGTGCTGGTGTTATTCTGTCCACCTTGCCAAGCTGTCTGTGTAGTCTCTAACAACAATAGTGAATGGTTTTTGTTTTGATTGCTTTTTCGTGTGTTTGTTGTTGCTACTAGGAGGCACCGTGCCAACAAAACCAGTAGCACCGCCCGCCCCCACGCCATCTGTTGCTCCATCGGGAACTTCGTCTAACAGCAAGAAGAAGCAGCCAACAACTAAGACGAAGCAGCTTGCCAAGAAGCCGACCACCAAGAAGCAGAAGCCACCGGTTGACAATGCTCTTGGAACCAGAAACAGTTTCGATTCTGACGACATGTTTGGTGACGATGGCAACCTTTTCTCCTCTTCCAAAGACGATGACGATGACGATGACATTGACGAGTGGCTTCAACAGAACATTGATCAGCTTCAACAATAGCACGTGGAAACAGACGCTTTCCTTGGAGGCCAGAAAGATGATACCATCATGAACGACAAAACAGGCCACAAGAAGAGAGGAGTGGGTGAGATGGCGGCTAAGTCCGAGAAGCAGGGGCTGATTCGATTTGTGCCCGTGCCAAAGCAGGACGACAAGGGCGGAGACTACTAGCTAGTATGCAATATTACGATTAATCGCCCATTTACATATCGCCCACATAAATATTCCAGAGTGGGCTTCCATGCTCCATCCCGTACTGGCAAATGACAACAATAGCAGCAACACAGAGCTGGAGTTTGGCTTGGCCATGGCGATGGACGTGGTCCATAGCTTTGAAACTCTTTAGCATGCTGTTGAAGTATTCATGGCGTTTCAAAGCTCTCGATTTGAAGTGACGAACACTTGCAGAGTCGTGAGCGTTTGGAGTGCTCAGCACATCACGATCCCCCGTGTATCCTCCGTCAGCAATTGCTTTCTTCTTAACTTGTCGCGTAGGCCACCGTTGGCTCGAAACATAACTCGGTCAGGGTTTTCTCCTGCTCTCTCAGCCGGCAAAATTTGCAGCACCTGACTTCGAACAAGAGATAGAACAATCTCAGTGTTGTATCCAGCTGAATGGTGCTTAAAATCAAACATGCCGGGATCTTTCCCAATTTCTGCGTGGGCAACTTCCCAAGCCGCAGTCATAGTAGCATCGACAGTGGCAATCCAGATGTCATCTCCATGAATGTGATCTTCGGGCCAATAGACTTTGGAGGCAAGGAGATGGGCTACTTTCTCAACGAAATACCAAACCCACTCTCGCTGTGTTGCCACCCGTTGTTCATATGCGCAATTCCGCTCAGTTTCAGTAGGATAGCGCTTCAGGAAATGCAGTGCCATGAAGTAATATTTCACTTTGAGCTTCTTCTCTGGAACTCTTGCCTCATCAATCAATGTTGTCTGCAAATCTTCCCAGATTTGAGCAGCCACAATAGGGATGGGACCGTAGTGATCCTTCAAGGCCTGAACTTTCGACTTAATACCCCATTTTGACAATCGCTTCTCTTCCAACCCGGCGAGTGCCAATCCCTCAGCAAGCATCTCATCTGGCGTCTTGATTGAGTACACTACATACCCATCATCATCATCATCAAAATCATCTGCCATGTTGTTGGCTATCCTTTTGCCTTCCTGTTGTTACCGGTATGGGTTGCTATACGTAGCTATTACTCTAGTAAGCTATGGTTGTGTCGACAGCCGTGTCGTCGCTGTTGGTTGTTGGTGGAGCAAACGATACGATCGGGTGCTTCGATTCGTCATCGAATAGAACACTATCCCTTGTAGGGAAACATTCCCTTATCGGCAAACATTCCCTTAAACATTCCCTTATCACGAATGAACATTCCCTTAAATAAACATTCCCTTAAAACATTCCCTTAAATCCCCGACATTCCCTTAACATTGCCTTAACGCTTCAACATTCCCTTAACGAGAACCAGGTTTTGAGTCAGTCGTGGCAGTTTTTTAAAGCCTGAGCGAAAACCGTCGAACGGTCCAGAGGAGATAAATTGAAGACCAATACCAGGGGCCAAAGGGCTTGACTTTGTGGGTGTTGGGGATTCGCCACTAGGGATTCAGCCCTTTACCTCAATACTAGCTAGAACTAGAGAGCTTAGTGAATCTAACAGTGGAATCCACAGAGACAGAGATCTGTAGCTTTGCTTCTCAAGGGAAAAGGGAAATTAGTTTCGTGGGATCAGGGGTGACAAACCGAGGACCAACACGGGGGCAAAAGGGATTGGCTGGAGCGTTCCTCAATCGTGCATGACTTTAAATCCGTCCCTAATTTAGGGTCGGTTTGGGGGAATCCGTCCTTAAATATAGGGACGTTTTTCAAACCCGACCCTAAATTGAAACCCGTCCCTAAATTAGGGACGGTTTTTCAGAAACCGTCCCTATTTTTAGGGACGTTTTCGAAACCCGACCCTAATATTGGTGCGTTTTCAATGTATTTACCACTCAGTCCCGTTTCCATTTAGGGACGTTTTTCAAACCCGACCCTAAATTGAAACCCGTCCCTAAATTAGGGACGGTTTTTCAGAAACCGTCCCTATTTTGAGGGACGTTTTCGAAACCCGACCTTAAAGGGAATCCGACCTTAAATCCGACCCTAATTTAGGGTCGGTTGCATGCACGATTGAGGAACGCTCCTGTGCTTGTGAGATAGAGACATAAAGTTTTGTCTGGATAGAAAATTATTTGGAAGTACAGTTTACGTTGACAGTGGCTGGCTCAACGCTGCAAGAGAAGCAAGGTTGGCACTGGGAGCAACCATGCCATCCACAGAATGGTCAATCAGATGGAAAGAAGAGGTTCTGATGGTACTGGGTATATCTGGGTATATCTGGGTATATCTGGGGAATCAAAGGGGGTTTAGACAAAGAAGGGGCAGAATTTGGGAGCAACTACTAGCTAGCTAGCAACTACTAGCTAGCTAGTAACAGGTACAGTATGACATGTTCTGTGGGGTACCGGTAAGGGGGGGCATACCGTACTAAGAGCCAGGTGAGGGGGGCAAGGGCTCGGATCCTAGGAGACATAAATGAGTGACAGTCATTATACAGATCAAAACTCGTCGTTTCTACAGTATCAAAGATCTCGAGGCAGCATCAGCAGGTAGCATAGATTGATCTGATCATAATAAAGGAGACCTTCGCATCTGCTTAGTTGAGTATTATTGTTTAACTATCCATCCATCCATCTATTCCACCATGAAGAGCTTTGGGAAAGTAGGCGAGAACTTTGGAAAAGTGGGGGAGAACCTTGGCAAGGTCCCTGAGAACTTTGTGAAGGGCTTGACCAAGTTGAATCCGTTGACGGTGTTGCCCGGGATGCCGACATGGAATGACATGACGGGCAGCCATGAAGAAGACGCTGGTGGTGATGGCTCTACAAGCACAGAAGACAAACCCCGCGGCGCCAACAAGTTTCGCATGCGCAACATTTTTGCGGCTCCCTTGGAATTTACCAAGGAATCGTTGGAGGGCGTTTGGAAAGCCGCCGCCATTACCAAGAGTGGGGAACAAACCGAGTTTTTGCAGGCGGCATTTGCAGAGCATTTTGTCTTTGCCAATATGAGCAGCCGCGAATCCAAATTCTTGATTTCTATGATGGCGCTCAAGAAATGCCATAAAGGCGAAACCATTATTGAACAAGGTCAACGCGGTGAATACTTGTACGTCCTTCAAGAAGGCGCCGTTCAGTTTGTCATTGATGGTGTAGCACGAGAACAATTGGGTGAAAAAGGAACCGTTTTTGGAGAACTCAGTTTGCTCTACGATTGTCCCACGGCCGCATCCGTCATTGCTCACTCGGATTGCCATCTGTGGCGCGTGTCACAGCTTACGTTTCGACGCATCAAAGCCGCCCATGCCCTCGAAGGAGACAAGGAAAAACGAGATGTTATTACGTCCGTCAGTTTCTTCAAGGGATTGTCCAACGATTTGATTTACAAGCTGGCCGACAGTTTGTTCGAACGCAAATTTAAAAAGGATGAAATACTGGTCATCAAAGGATCCGAGGCAAACACCATGTTCATGGTCAAGGAAGGCTGGATACGGGCCACCGATATCAGTACCAAAGAGACCAAATTGGCCGACATTAAAATGCAACCCGGAGACCATTTTGGAGAACGAGCCATGGTCAAGGGCACACCGTACGCTGGAACAGCCGTGGCGTTGACGGATGGATCCGCCTGGTGTCTGTCCAAAAAACACTACAAACGTGCCCTGGGCAATCTCGATTTGGAGCAATCGATTGTGCGGGCTCAAGATTTTAAAATGTTGCAAGCCCTGCCTCTTTTCGCCTACAGCGATATTGACCGCGTCGAAACGGAGCTGTTGGCCGAAAATATCGTCGACTGTCAACACGCCAAAGGACACGTGTTTGCCAATCAGGGACAAAAAGTCGATCCGGCCCTTTACATTATTCGAAAGGGTTCTGTGGTGAGTAGTATATCCAACAGCGTTGGTATCGTGTGTCGTGTTGTTGTGGTCTCGATTGTGTTGTTGCTCAAGTGCGTCTCACACCGATTTATTCTTGAAAATTGCAGAACATGACCAAAAAAAGCGGAGAAAACGTGACCCTTTCGATGGGAGAGTCCTTTGGGTTTGGTGGTGCCACGTTGATTTTGACCAACAAACTTATGCAAGAGTCCCCGGAAGGCGTCCAAGCCTGGCTGCACCAGAAAAAACTCTTTTCTTGCCAAAAAGCCATCAACGACAACAGTGTAGGGGCCGATTATACCGCCATTGCCACGGAAGACGTCACCGTCGGAATGATCACCCTGAAACAAATCACAAAGATCCTGTACGATCCTTTGCGGGTCGGTCGCAGGGTCGGTGCAACGCCCAAGTCAAACATCAATATGCAGCAACTGGAACGGCGCAAGGTATTGGGTGCCGGGACCTTTGGAACGGTTTGGTTGACCCGGCATCCGGCCACCGATACGCCCTACGCGCTCAAGGTACAATACAAACGACAACTCATTGATTTTAATCAAGCCAAGGGTGTCATTCGCGAAGAAAAAATCATGTCGCGTATGCACCATCCCTTTGTCATGAGCATTGTCAGCAGCCAACAAGACGAACAGTGTCTCTACATGGTCATGGACCTCTTGCAGGGAGGAGAACTCGGCAGTGTGATGCATACCCGCAAACGAAAGCATTTGGCAGAGGGCAGTGCTCGGTTCTACGGCGCGGGAGTCTTGGAAGGACTCAGTTACATGCATCGTCGATTCTACATCTACAGAGATCTAAAGGGAGAGAACGTGTTGTTGGACAACGATGGATACGCCGTCATTGTTGATCTTGGATTTGGTAGGTCTTCTAGTTTTGCTGTGGCCCTTCTTTGAAAGCCAGAAAGCAGGTACTAACTTCTGCGTGTTTGTCTCTCTGCGGTTTCCCACAGCCAAGTTCGTCCCCGACAAGACGTTCACTTTCTGTGGAACGCCTCTTTTTATTGCTCCTGAAATCGTCCTCAGTAAAGGCAAGTCATACAGTATTTGGCTTGATTGCTTCGTTTCGGGTGGCTGAAGCTAACTCCCTCGTTTGCATCGTCCTTTGAACCCGCAGGACACGACAAGGGGGCTGATATTTGGTATGTCTTGCCGTGTCCGTCCTTGAGCGCTTGCTTTTTTGGATTTTTCTAACAACAATGCTCTGGAATCGCTTGTATCGGTACATGTAGGTCGTATGGAGTTCTCCTTTACGAGATGATGACCGGCGAGAATCCCTTTTACACGAACGAAGACATGGACCAGGTGGACTTGTTCAAGGCCATTGTCAAGGGCAAGTACAGTTACCCACACGATTCTAAAATTAGCGACGCCGCCAAGGATCTCATTGACAAGATTTTGGTGGGCGATCCCAAGGTGAGACTGGGATCTCGAAACGATTTGGAAATACGCAATCACGCCTGGTTTGAGGGATTCGACTTTGGAGCTCTCTACCGCAAGGAGTTGACTCCGGTCTGGACGCCCAAGATCAAGAATCCTTTCGATGGCTCCAACTTTGGCGACTGGAGCGACGCTGAGAAGGAAGAAAAGGACTTCCAGCCTTTGAGTCACGAAGAGCAGCAGCTTTTTGCGGACTTTGGTCAATGAATGAATGAATGAAAGAATGAATAGACAGTGAACGAACAATCTACGTGCTTTGGGATGTTTCAGGGGCCAAACTACGTACGTCCCTTGACCCCAAAGCGCTATCGGAGCAAGTTGCGCTGGTTGTAGGTTTGGCTATGGAGGAACGAATGCAGTTTCTTCTGGCATCGCCTCTTTGATATCAATAGCCTAGTCTACTGTTCCCCAATTGTAGTTCATAAGGACTAGTAGCTATAATGTAGCCTAAGCGCTCGTCGCGAACGGTAACGTTTGCCTCTGCCACTAGCTAGCTAGCTACTGGTAGCACGGTACGGTGCCGCTACTTGCTGGTACGCTGGTACATTCTGACGTAACCGCCCAGTAACTTGCGGATTTCCTGAAACCACATCTACTAGCTAGCTAGTTCCCTGCATGGCTGGCTCAACAAATACGAAGCAAGTCCAGCTCCCAGTTTCTTGGTTTCATCATCGCAAAACTGGTTCTTGCTACATGTAGCTTGGTATGGGGCATTCCATTCAATAACCCCATCCACTCCAGCAAGGTAGGTAGGTATTTCGCATTCCATCCAAGCCCTCTAGCTAGCTACGGTAGCATCAAGTTCCGTAAAACTTCCCTTGTACATGCTATGTCTCTAACTAAACCCCTCTGCAAGAAATGGGGGAAAAGTTGAAGAAGGTGTGGCTTCTTTGTTTTGCAAGGGAAGCTCTTTTTCTTTTTTCGAACGCAACGAGCGTCTGCAGTAGGCGGCCAAGTCGTATCCACGTTTCAAGGTTCCTTGCCGGTACCGCTTTGGTTGAAGTGGAACGGGCAATCTTCCGTTGGATCTTTCGGCATTTTTCGTCGACCACCACCATCGCTTTTCTCTCGACTCGACTCTTCCTTTGCCTTGTTTGTTTCTGGCTCTAGATAGTTCCCGTTGACTTGATTGCTCCCATCAACCCAGATAACATCTGGTCAACCAGATCGCACAAACGAAGGCAAGAAAGAGAGAAAGAGAGAAATAATCACTATGTTCCATCGTTTGCTGGTCCGAGGAGGACCACAGAGGTTCCGCCATGCCGCAGCGGCTGCCACTGTCTTGGGCGGTGTGGCGGTTTGGAACAATCACGAAGACCACGAGGACAAAGAAGCAGCTCCTATAGTATCAACAGCAAGCAGGAGTATGGTGGCCTGCGAATCCTCCCTGATGAGACCACCGTTGACTCTTCCCAACCAAAAGAATCTCCAGAATCAGAAGCAAGAGTCTGTATCCAAAATAACGACAACAACAACAACAACGGAAGAACCATTTGACTTGTACGCGTCGTACGACATTGTCCAAGTCTTGGGAGAAGGTGGTTACGGCATGGTCTACGAAGCCAAACGCAAACGTGACGGTCGCATGGTGGCACTCAAAAGTATGCCTCGTACATTTACCGGTCAAACCGACTTTGAAGCGGAAGTGGCGGCACTCCAACAATTGTCGCCGCATCCCCACATTGTCCAATTCTACGACTTGCATCGGGATGCCACCAATTACTATTTGGTCATGGAATTGGTACAAGGCGGAGTTGAATTGTTGGATCATTTAATTGAACATGGTGCCTTTAGTGAAGGACTGGCGGCGTCCTTTTTGCGACAATTTGCCGAAGCTGTGGCATATGTGCATCAAAAAGAATTGGTTCATGCCGATCTCAAACCGGAAAACCTCATGTTAACGACACACAATGGCAACAACAACGATGGCATGACACTCAAATCAAAGTCGTCGATTTTGGATGTGCCTGTCGCCACGACCTGCAAAAGAGCATTCAATTGCCCGCGGACGAATTTGCCACGGGATGTCGTTTTTTGCACATGGTCGCACTCGGCAATCAATTTGAACTGGAACGACTCCTGCAAACACAGGATAGGTTGGTCAATTTTCGCGATTACGATTTCCGCACACCCCTCCATTTGGCCGCCAGTGAAGGACACGTCGACATTTGTCGTTTTCTGGTAGCGAAAGGAGCCCGGATCAATCGCTGCGATCGATGGGGTGGCAGTCCGTTGGATGATGCGCATCGGCATGGACATACATCCGTGGTCAACTACTTGCGACGAGAAGGAGCCACGTTTGGAAATACAACCAAGGTGGTGACCAAACTCATTCAAGCGGCGTCCGCGGGAAATGTCGAACAAGTGGCGGCATTGGTCGAATTGGGTGGTATGGATATCAATCAAGGGGATTATGACAAACGGACCGCCTTGCATTTGGCAGCCGGAGAAGGACGATTGCAAACCGTCGAGTACCTCGTCCAAACAGCCGGTGCCGATGTCAATGTCGAAGATCGATGGGGGAACCGACCCCTGGACGATGCCAAGAAGGCACCGCAACACGCTCCTGAAATCATGCAATTGCTGCAGGAATACGGAGGTCAATCGGCCGGAGTGCCGGCCAAGCATCGTTACCACAAAAAGAAGAAGAATCTCATGGCGACGAAATCCACCAAGGAACAAACGTCGTCGGGGACCATTGCGTACTGGCCGCCCGAAATGTTCCAACAAGGAGCTCTTCCATCGCCTCCCACCGACATGTGGGCGGCGGGTGTTATCATGTACATTTTGTTGACTGGATCGTAAGTGTGTCGTGTCATGTCACGTGCGTTGCGAATGACTGAAGGACGTGGCTCTCATGCTCACCCATCTATATCTTGCTTACTCCCTCATCGATCGATCGATCGATCGAACAGCCACCCCTTTGACAAGTTCGCTGACAGGACTGATAGCGAGATTGAACGAATCCTTACTCAATTGAATAGTGGTGATCCGCAAGCCAACAAGAAACTGTTGGAAGAAATTGTATTTGATGAACGCATTCAAGGACTGTCGCAATCATGTGTCGACTTGATGCGACAATTGATGCATCCCGATCCGCAACAACGCATTACCAGCGACAATTTTGTGCGACATCCATGGATTCAAGGACTCACGGCCTCATGGGCCACCATGGAACTCAACAAACAGCATCTGCAGCGACGATTTCAAACCAAAATTCTACACCGCTTTGGAACGGGAAGTCACGCGGTTTCGGACCCCACCAAGCTGCGAGAAATCTTTAATGCCATTGACATTGCCAAGAATGGGGTGTTGGATCCCAATGAGCTACGAATCGTTTTGCGGTCGGCAGGAGAACCGGAGGATACCATTTCCAAAATCATGGCATCGTTGGACTTGCAACGAGATGGTGGCAGTGTCCACGGAGTGTCATGGGAAGCGTTTCAACGAATCATGAACAGCAACACCACCAATGACGATTGAGAAGCAAGAAAAGAGGAGGACGAGACTCGATTCGATTCGTTTCATACTTTTGAAAGTTTTGCATGACAAGGAAGGCCGGTGGCAGCCTTTGTATAGGTACATTATAGGTTTGGCAGTTTTTGACGATCGTACCGTCTTTGTTCTCTGCATCGACTCCAGCTATGTTTGCACAGGCCTTGGCTTGGGAGACCGTGATAAGCTCGAGTTTCCGAGCAACGAATTGTACGAAAAGCATCCAGCCTCCGGTTCCGGTGTGGCGAATTAGCTGCATCTTCCACGGCGGCGGTTCGAGGGCTTCGAGAGTTGTGCCGATGCCGTGTGCCAGGCTGCCCTTCATGGGTTGAATGCATCGAATCAGAATCAATCTTTCGATCATTGGAAAAGCATCCAAGCCTTGCCCTCGTGGCTTCCAGGGGTCGCCACATCCCCACATCGTCCAATTCTACAGTTTGCATTGCAATGCCACCAATTATTATTTGGTCATGGAATTGGTCCAAGGAGGGGTCGAATAGTTGGATCATTTAATTGAACATGGTGCCTTTAGTGAAGGACTCCCCGAGCCTTTTTTGTGACAATTTGCCCCCTACAAGATTCTCGGTCCGCCTTTTCGCCGAAAGGAAGACCCGGGGGTGGCAGGTACAATTTGATGGAACTTGTTCAAATCAATAAAGATTTGTCCTTCTTTTTGCGACATGCACGGTGCGAATTTACCTCCAAAGACGATATCGTCGGTCGTGTAGGACTGCAAGGCTTGAAAGGTTCCAGAAATGAGAGGTTCAATTCCTTCGCACACAACCATAATTTCCTTGTCTTGGAGACTGTTGCGTATCTCTTGTTCACTCATCTTTTCCAGTGGCTGTGATGGTGGCATCGTATTGACGAGGGTTTGATGGGACCCTTGTACGGGTACATTGGGATCGGCCGCTTCCATCATGGCGTTGTATTGAATGTGCCGTTGCAGATTGACATGTGTTCCATACGTCTCGCCACAGATTGGACAAGGAATGCCTCCCATGTTTTCGACCATGCGATCAACTTCTCTCAAGGGCAATCCATGTCGTTGCACAAGACTATCGTCGTCGCGCAAATAGGATGGTGTCAGAGGACTGTAGGCATCAATGTGATGCGTCAATGTGGCGGGGACACTGGTAAAGAGCATGCCTCCCAAATCATCATTGGGTTGGAGGAGTCGCATGGTATGCAGCAAATGAGGCTGTTTGTTGAAATCTTGATATTCGTAATCCATCCAGGAAATAACGTACAGTCTCACGTGAGCTTCGACCACTGGATGGGCCGCATCCAAATCGTAGATGCGGGCGTGAAACAACCATTTGCCATTGCGATGTTCAATTATGGCTTTATTGCTAAAGAGCATTTGGGCGCCCCTGGCTTCGGCTCGGGCCAATCTTGCAAAAAAGAAGGCAAAGAGAAAGGCATTGAACAACATGCTGTAGACCATTTGCGTGTAAATGGCGAGTTGCAAAAGGGGACAATTTTCAAAAAACCCATTGTGACCTCCCGGGAGACCATATCCCACGGTGGTGCAGGTCTCGAGGGAAAAGGCAAAGGCTCCTGGAAGGCCAATGACTTTGCCAGGTTGTGACGCCAATCCACAATCCTTGTTGGGGTCAATACTGTCAATGGCGCGGTAGATGAGGCCAAAGCCCAGGTTGATTAGGGTCCATGCCAGCACCAGTAATGTCAAGGACTTCTTTGTTTCCCATCGTAAAAAGACATGAAACCAATTCTTGTATTTCAAGGGACGCACGTTTTCCGCATGTCTATTTTCTATGCTAACCTTTTGTTTCGACTGGTAGTTGGGGAGATTGCGTTTCACAAAGCGAGGAATATTGCCAGTGCTCAGAGGAACAGTGGAAGAATACCGACGATGATGAAGGCCACTGCTGAAATGGGCAGGAGGAGGGGGAGGAGCATTGCCTAGTAGAGGGTTTTCTTCGTCAATGATGGTAGGTTTGGTCGGACTGAAAGTCAGATTCTGTTGTTGAGAAGAGGAAGAGCGAGGAGATCTCCAGGAGGACATGGCGAGTGAAGTGCAGTGCAGTGCTGTTGTCTTGTGAGGGCACGAGGATGTAGAGAGAAGGCAAGAGAGAGGACAATAATAAGTGGCTGCTAAATTGGATACCGGTAGCTGGAGGTCTTCGTGGATAGAAAGGAACGAAGGAATGGTTGCATTTTCGTTTGACCCTCTACCGTACTGGTATTGGGACAATGTTTCGGGAGATGTCACCATGTCACCAGATCGAACGATCGAGCGTTTTTGATGCCAATGATACTACCGGTACAGTAAGACGCACCCTTGTTCATCATTTGCAGACTAGCTATGGGCTGTGAAAGTGCAAGCTATCACCGGCACTACGTAGCTAGTACCGGTGGTACCATCGTGGACAACAAATAGCTAGCTAGTATAATAATATTCTTATTATCAGCGTGTCGTCCCCCACAACGGACTAACAGAAAAGCTTCACAGGCTCATGTTGTCATAATAATCACTCCGCCTCTATACTACTATCATACTGGCGCTGCCGAGTCGAGTCCGTTCCTCCTGTTGCCAGTATCATGTCTTCTGATAGTACTGGTGCCACTGGTGCCAATAGCAGTGCTAAAAACAATACGAAACAGAACATGTGCCCCCCTGTCGAGTCTCTTCTGTTGGACAAGGCTGAGATTTGGATCCAAGGCATTCTTCCTCTGGTTGGTGTTGGACAGTACGGTTTTGTTGGAGCTGTCAACAAGAAGATGAATCAACTGTACAAAGAGTACTCCAAAGTTGAACTCAAGAAAAACCCAAGAGAGGTATTGGATGGTTATCCCAGTCGCCCTGCAGAAATCACAGACACTCTCTACGGTGAAACTTTCTGTAACCAGCCACGTGCAGAATACTGGCTCAGGGACAATTCCAGCAACAAAGCACCTCGTCGTAGTCAGGTTTGCACTGTAATTGCCAAAAGTGGCAATCTGACTGTAATGCAGTGGGCACGACAACAAGGATTCCCATGGGATGCATGGACATGTGCATCAGCTGCCAAGAATGGACATTTGGAAATGCTCCAATGGCTGCATGCAAATGGTTGTCCATGGAATGCAGATACATGTATCTGTGCTGCTGAAGGTGGTCATTTTGAAATCTTAAAGTGGGCTCGTGAAAATGGCTGTCCATGGAGTGCAAGGACATGTGATGGAGCTGCTAAAAATGGACAGTTGGAAATTTTGATGTGGGCTCGTGAAAATGGCTGTCCATGGAATGCAATTACATGTGCTGGAGCTGCTAAAAATGGACATTTGGAAATGCTCCAATGGCTGCATGCAATGGTTGTCCATGGAATGCATATACATGTATCTGTGCTGCTGAGGTGGTCATTTTGAAATCTTAAGTGGGCTCGTGAAAATGGCTGTCCATGGATGAAATGATGCTGGAGCTGCTTATGGACATTTGGAAATCTTAAAGTGGGCTCTGAAATGGCTGTCCATGGAGTGCAAAATTACATGTGCTGGAGCTGCTAAAAATGGACATTTGGAAATTCTCCAATGGCTGCATGCAAATGGTTGTCCATGGAATGCAGATACATGCGAGGTTGCTGCTCAACATGGCCACTTGGAAATTCTCCAATGGCTGCATGCAAATGGTTGTCCATGGAATGCAGATACATGTTACCTTGCTGCTCTATCTGGCCAGTTGAAATCTTGAAGTGGGCTCGTGAAAATGTTGTCCATGGAATGCAGATACATGCGAGGGTGCTGCCAAGAATGGCCACTTGGAAATTCTCAATGGCTGCGTGAAATGGTGTCCATGGAATGCAGATACATGTTACCTTGCTGCTCTACCTGGCACTTGGAAATTCTCCAATGGCTGCATGCAAATGGTTGTCCATGGAATGCAGATACATGCAAGGGTGCTGCTCGAGGTGGTCACCTTGATGTGCTCAAGTGGGCCCGTGAAAATGGTTGTCCATGGAATGCAGATACATGCGAGGGTGCTGCTCGAGGAGGTCGCCTTGATGTACTCAAGTGGGCCCGTGAAAATGGTTGTCCGTGGAATACGGCAACATTTACAGCTGCCCGAAGGTTCAGAGGACGCAACAAAAGCGAACTGATCCAGTGGCTACGCGACAATGGCTGCCCTGGGTCTCAGGATGAAGAAGACTAACATCATGTATTGTAAGGTTAGGATTTGAATGCAAAATAAGATTCGGTAATGCTCATGTTTCCCCCTAGTCTACCCTTAGCTAGCTATTGGCTCAGTAGAGTGTGATCTGTTTGAACGAGAATCTCATGACCCATGGCTGGTCAAAAGTTGGATTGATTCGACCACGATAACCTGCACAGAAGGAGGGCGAACTGGGTATTCAATTGCGAGGGACGATGCTTGTGAGAGGGATCTGTATCAGACTCGGAGCAGCATCTGATGGCATCTCGTAAGGCCTAGCAAGCTGGCTAGTTCATGCAGGAGGGCGACAAACTGTACACAATTAATAGATAACCGGATTCTGGCTAGCTAGGCTTACTACCGTACATGTAGCTAGTACAGTAGTTTTGACAGCTCGCTCCAAGGCTGCTGATCCCATGCCAAAGATAAAACTGAAACGACGACCCTTGCGCAAATTCTGAAGAAAGAATGAATGAATCCAATTTTGGCTGGCATAATCAATCAATCAATCAATCACTCACTCATCACGACGGAGACCAAAGAGTCGCGAAAGCAGCATCATACGGTATCATGCGGGCTTTTTTAAAATTTTCTCATCCTGATTCTGATTCGATTCGAAGATGACAGTCGTCTCCTCCTGTTTTGCTCCGAATAAATAATAATTAGCCGACTAGTCTAGACGTACTAGTACCGACACCCCACATGCATTGCAATGAAAAATTTATCATGATTGCAAATGCAAATCCTCTGACGATGATGGAGCTTCACAGACTTTTTGAGAGCGGTGATGAGGCACGAGTGGCATCGATTCTCGTTCCGTCGGAACGTTTTCAACCCATTCGAATTCGTACGGTAGGCTTCCGACGCGGTATGAGCATCAACTGCGGGTACAGTACCAGTACAGCAGAGGCTTGTTGTAGCTAGCTAGCTAGCTAGCTTACTGGTACCGTAGTGATGAATCCATATCATCACAGTCGAAACAACTGTTCGTTCTTGGCGCGCAACGACAATAGATCCTTGGCGCGCAAGAGTTGCCGGCAGTAGGCTTCTTGCAGAGACGGTTGCAAGTACTGGTGTGCCAATGGTTTTGGAAAATCATCTCCGAATTGACACGGCACTTCACAGCCCAATTCCAGTACATTCGTCAACGATGTCGGATACAAGCGTCGCACCAGTGACCAACAGACATTGGCGACTGTGCCGGTATTGAAACAGAGTAATTGTCGAAATTTGATGGGATACTGAGCGAACATTTCTGCACAGAATCGATATTGGAGTTCCATATTCCATTGTTTCCAACTAAATTCGGAAAAGTCCATCATGGTGTGATTGCCGCGTCGAATCGTTGCCAATGTTGGTTGACAGGTGTAATACAAGTAATAGTCGCCGCGAATGAAAATTCGCCAAGTGTCTTCGGATGCCACGGCGGCGGCTGGATTGAGCGCTCCCACATCGACAACTCGTATTCCATCCCACGTGACGGTATCGACATCAAAACAGAGAATCAAGCCCGCTTGTTGTTCCAGGAATGTGCCAATGGCTTCGACTCCTTGTTCGGGAGAATGATGAATCCCGTAGGTACTACGAAATGCTTGCATGGCTTGAATTCGCTTCATGGCATTGGGCACATCGCCTCCCGACACGAGCGCGTACTGCGCAATTTCCATGTCCGTCAGGGGCGTCAGTGGAGGAGACTGATCATCATCACTCGCAGTACATGTAGTTTCCATCACTTTTTGTTTCAATTGACACGCCCACCCGTGCTCTTCCTGCGTGAGCGTCATGGTGCCATTGTCCTGATCATCCAGACGCGGCAATTGCAGCAGACGGACAATGTGGTTTTCGTCTTCCTCCTCGTCTTCCTCCTCCTCCATCATGGCTTGGTCTTCCATGGCCTCTTCCTCCTCATTGTCCCCACGAAGCGATTCCTCGTCCTCTTCGTCGTCCATTCCGTCTCCGGTGCGGATCCACTCGTCCCTTATTTCGTCTTCGTTCATCGTACTTGTCAAGAAGGGTCGTTTTAAGTTTGGTAGTAGTACGGTAGGAACAATGCTACTAATAGCAAGACGAGGCTTTGGAAGGAATCGAATCGAATCAGGAACGAATTGAATTGTGTCGAGGTCGTGGTCGTAATCCAGTAAGAGGTGTTTGCTGAGTGGTGAGACCCAGGCTAGGGGGTTCTCAAGTGTGTGGAGGTCATCATCCTCATCTATCTACGGACAGCTCTACGGACTCTACTCTAAACCCCTCCACGGAAGCCTTTGCTTTGAAGTTTGGTTGTGCAGATTGGAACTGTTCCATTCTTGCGGAAGCTGAGTGACTGGAAGCGAATTTGATGACAACAGTGGCCTTTCCAAGCTTCACGCCTTATCTTAAATGTCTAAAATGATAAGAAGCACCTCAATGGCGGCATGGTGGTATTTAATACTGCCGGCGCGACCGAAAGGACCCCAAAGCAACTGAAAGTTTAATGTCGTAATCAGCAGCTTCTTCGACACTTTCCGTAAAAGGGGAGGCATGTCTCCCAAAGAATTAAACAATACTGAGTAGTAGTCAAGCTAGGTTCTCGACAATGTCCTGCTCACTCTACTTACTAAGTCTTGTTGACCAGTGGTTTCCTTTTATGAAGGTTTGCTACGGCAACGATTCATGACTCGAGTCATGTTCATGACTAATCAAATCAGTCTGATTGGCTTCTTGCTCGAGTATCAGAGTTTCTATCTGGCGAACTTTTCTACATGTATTTGCTACAAGTATTTCATCAGTGTAGCATCTGATCTTATTGGGGCTGGGACCTGTCAATTTGTAGAGCTTTCTGGAACTGGAACTAGCCTGGATGGGACCTATGAGTCGATTAATGATGGATTCTTTGCAATTCTTTTCAGTCAATGGAATGGCGAAGAATGTGGCATCTTCATAGAGCGCACTCTCGTAACAGGTGGCTTTGACTGGGGTATTGTTGCTACTAGGTATGAGGATTATGAAGTTCAACCAGCCAAAATGCTCTGGAAATGCCCTTTTACTGCAAATTTGGAGCTGCCACCCAAGGGGCCATGGTTTCCTGTCTCTGAAGAAGTAGACACAACAAACCACCTCACCTACTTCATCTTGGTGGTAGAGCTGGAAAGGGTGCTTCAGCACCAGAAACGTAAGGTCCACGACCTCAATGGAATAGATACCGGTATGTTGCCAGATAGCTACTACTCCCATTACATGATGCAGCCCCAGTCCCAAATTTTGCATCTGCTTTGCCAAAAGAGATTCGATTCCACTCGAATCAGTCATCATTCAATTTTTGAACACATGGGAACCTGTGTTACAAGAGAGTCACTACACCACAGCCCTGGAAACAGGATAGTCAGACATTCCTACCATCCCTTTTCCTTGCCCCTCCTACCCCCTTCAAACTTCTTTACCAACCCCAACTCTCTTCAACAAAGAGATCGTGATTTGTGGTGAATCATGGCTCTGACCTCAGTGTACAAATCCTTACATAGCTAACAGGCGTCGCACCCTCTCAGGAGGCCAGTGTGGCCGGTGAGCAGACTTGACTGTGGGAAATACCCGGGCCTTGGCTCGGGGGTCGTCCTCAAGCACATCTCGTCTGAATCCGTAGTTTTTGTGTGCTTTGCCAAAATCCTGGCCCTCGCTGGCTCCCATAGATAACTACTCTACTGGTACATGTACTCTGACACCAAAATGACCAATTGCTACAATGCCCGATGCTCCGTAGCGGTAGCATACCGTGGTATGCATAGATCTACTAGTAGGATGATCGCAGCGCACTATCCCAAGGACCCCTCTCGGTCTTTCCACATGCTTTGAAGGCTTCACTGGCTTCACTTTCTAAAATTCGACAGTCAGAAAAAAATGACAGCAGCCCGCCAAAAACTCTTGGTTGACATAGTACCGGTAGCGTAATAGTAGTAGACGGAGGAAATCACCTCTATTATCCATACGAGCTAGCTCGTCTACTAGTAGCCGACACCACCATGATGAAAGCGGAGGAATGTTGGGCTGATTCAGACGACGAGCCTGCCACCAAGCGACTGCGATGCACTGATCCTGATCTCAAGATTGTCCTCGAGTACTCAACACGAGAAGAATCTGTATGGGTAGAGATGAAGAAGGAGTACCACATGTACAGTCATGTGCTTGCTGGACTCAGCAACTTCATTGACACTTCCTTGTCTGTGGATATGAAGGAGAAGAAAAGAAAAGAAATTGTCTTCAAAGATGTCACACCAGAGATCTTTGAGATGGCACTAAAATACCAGCAAGATTTGGGTGCAGTGCGGTTCATGGAAGCAAAAGACGCGGCAAAGTTGATCAAATTCTACGATAAGTATGAGTTCACTGGGGGAATCAAGCTGTGTGATGATGTGCTTTCTGATTACTTCCAAAACAATATACAGAACTTGGACCTCCAGAAACCTCCTGAGGATCTTGATCTACTGGTTCGTGCTGCAGCATTGGCATATCGGTTTGACCTGACAAACTCCAAAGATGCGGGTATTCAATATCTCAAGACAAGAATGCATTTTACAATCTCCCCTTTTGGACTATCAATGTTTTCCGAGGACCACATCAAACGGCTTCAACCAATGTTCGTGGAAGGTGTTTTTCGCCAAGTCCATTGTGCTCTCGATGCGCTGTCAGCAAAAGAAGTGGCTCCCCTCTCTTTCCCAAAGTATTTCATCAGTTTGGCATCGGATGTTACTTGTGGTCAGACCTGCCGCTTTGTAGAGCTTTCCGGAACTGGAACTTATGCGGATGGGACCTATTCGCTCACCTTTGACGGAAACTTCAAGCGCCAACGTAAAGACGATTGGGATGGTGAACCGTGTGATTTCTTCATTGAGCGCGGAATCATTACTGGTGAGAACTGGGGCATTGTTGCTTGGAATAGAGATGAACCTGCCAAAGTGATCTGGAAATGCCCTCACACTGCAACCTTGGAGTTGCCACCTGAGGGACCCTGGTTTCCTGTCTCTGAAGAAGTAGACGAAACAATGGAACCAAAGCTTCTTCATCTTGGTGGTAGAGCTGGAAAGGGCTCTTCAGCACCATAAGATTAAGTTCCACCACTTCAAACTGGATAAAAACTGGATTAGTTACGTGTTTATTCCCATAACATGTAGGTCTACAATGTAGCCCCTTTCCACAAGAAGTCGCCCGTGGGCGACTTGCACGGCGCCCCTCTCTGGTTCTTCAAGGGTGCACGACAATCTCGGTGCGAAATGTAGGACAAGATCTAGCTAGCTGGTAGTGCAACATGAATAGTAATGCATGCAAAATTAAAAAAGTTTCCTGCGCTATAGTCTATCGTACGCACAATTCGTATAACCTGCTTGTTCTCCTCCTCCCTTTCTGCTTTACAAAGCAATGGGAAATCACACCAAAATATACTGTATATTCGTCTAACGAACGAACTACCTAACTAACTCCACGTCCCTCTGGACGCCGACGCAGGTGGAGCATATCCGTTACTTCCCACTTTGGTATGACCCATTTCGACGTGCAACTCCAAGTCGGATGCCGTAGCATGAGATGCCGTCGATGCCAGTCCCCCTTCTTCTCGATCGGCCGCCACAGCATAAAACTCCTTGCCGGACGTATATCGTCGATAAAACACGGCTCCAGCAATGACGACGGATACACAGAGCACGGCCACGAGAATGCCCGACAGAGCCTGTTTGGGATCGGTCGTGTTGGGTGCCTTTTTCTTTGCGGGTGTGTGTGCGAGCGATCCTCCACTACTACTGCCATGCGGGGCACGGGTATGAGGTGGTTGTGCGGGAGTATGTTTGGAGGGCTGTGAGGGTGGTTGTGGCAAGACTCCATTTCCCATGTACGGTGGCAAATTCGGAGTTGGTTTGGGTCTTGGAGCCGCCGTGGGCGTCTGCGGCGTTTGTACAGTGGGAGTACTACCGTGGTCATTTGCCGGTGGTGGTTTGGGGAGTGGTTCTGCCTGGGTTTCATTATTGTCGTTGGTGGTAGTGTTGCTGACTTCGGGTAGTGTGGTGTCGTCGATTGACTCTTCTGTTGTGGTGGAATCAACGTCGGTGGCATTGTTGATTGTCTCAGTGGTATTGGGAGGCGGTGGAACATCCTCTGGAGCAGAATCTTGCGTGTTTTCCGGTGGTGGCTCTGTCGTTTCCTCTGGTTCGTCCTCCTTTGGTTCCTCCGTGGGTGGTTCTGCGGTATCGTCAATCTCAGTTTGCGTATTATTATTATTGGCATACGTTCCATTAGCACCAAAGACAGGTCCCGTTCCTAGCATCCAATCATCGAGATTGCGGTCATCGCCACAGGTCAAATCCCACAAACATTGTCGTGTCGGATCGTGATTATCATTGCCATGAGGACATTCCAGCAAACAAAAATCGCAGAGTGCCGGTTTGGGCATGGGAAATGCATTGCAGACCGATGCCATGATTTGCCAATCACTCATGGCGGTCAAATTGGTCATGACAAAACTGTTAATGGCCAAATGGGGGAAAAGGTCGTACGACGTCAAATTTTGATTGGTAGTGAGAATGTGCTTGGTGCGATGCAATTCTTGATCGAGAATGTCATTCTTGGTATCAATTTGCGGTCCAACGCCGCCGGAATTGTGAAAACAGTCTTGAATTTTAACGTCGTCAATGCCGGCTTGATCAAAGACGCGATGAATGCAATTGTCACTGAGGGACATGTCGCAATTGGTGCTCTTCAATAATGCCACGTATTCGAACAGCTTGGTGACATTGGTGTGGGCGTATTCCTTCCAAACACACAATCGTCGCACACTCTCCTCCACTATATCGGCACCCGTCAATCCAGCGTGCGTTTCATCCTTATTGTCATCATCCTGCAAATCAAAATCAATATAACAATAACGCCCCAAATTGACACAATTGGCGAGACAGTCTTCCGTCATGTCATCGACTCGTTCGGCTCGACATTCTCCATCGTGATCCGTCACGGCTTGATGCGGATGCAAGACTACCAAATGGGCGTCATCAAAGCGTGTCACTAAACCTTCCAGTCGACCCAAGAGAGTGGACGACCAATCGCGATTGGGAGTTGTCCAAAACGCCAATTTGATCGGATTGATCAGTCCGGCCGCACTGGATGCTCCCGCTGAAATGGCAAAATTGTCAAATGATTCCACAAAGACATTCGTATTGTCATTGTTGTCACTATTGTTGCCGTGGACACTACATGTCACCGCCAAGAGGAGCAGGAGTACCCGACACGAAGAGAATCGATAGCGTGTCATTGTTCACTAATACTGTATGTATCAACAACAACAAGAACTAGCTAGCCGCACGTTGTTTTCTGGATTCGATTCGTATAGTGCTGTGGAAAGGGCCGCACTCTCTTTCTTTTGCATCACTCATCATTGGATCGATTGGATTGAATTTGGAGGAAGGATCGGCACACATCGCCATCCCGCACCGCTTGCGGCCAATGAAGCTCGGTCGGTGTGGTTTTGCAGTTATTTGTACCGTGGGCTACGCAAGAATGAGAGCCAGCCCATTGGGATTTGAATTTTGGGTCTGCCCGAGCCTACATATCCCCAACCTTGAAGTAAAGCAGGTCCAGGAAGCGGGACCAAAAGAGATATTAAGACTCACGTCCGGGAAACTATAGTTTACGCAAGATGCCTGCATACAACTAAGTTTCACGCATTTTTAAAACCACATCTTGTCTGCAACTACCAATCAGTTGCAAGCATACATTAGTGCACACCTGTTCCAGACCCTGCTGCTAGAGGAAGTAATTGTTGCCTTCCCCCTAATCCTTTGCAAAAATGGGGGTTTAGAGTAGGTAGATTATCTACGGAAGCCAGCAAGGGCCAGGCTTAATTAAGCAAAGAACAGTCGGAATTCAGGACTGGGTTCTGTGGGATCAGGGGCAAGAAATTAGAGGACCAAGATGAAAGGGCCGGAAATCACGATTTTATGAATCTAACCAAATTGATCAATTCGAAACCTAAATATAAAACCGAAACCAAAATATAAAACCGAAACCTAAATATAAAATCGAAACCAAATTACTATGGTAATTAACTAGTAAAATCAATCCGAAACCAAAATATAAGATCGAAACCAAAATATAAAATCGAAACCAAAATATAAAATCGAAACACAAGTATAAATCAGAATTTGGTGTAAATCGCCATTTCGGGCCCTTTCGATACGCTGGGGCCAAACGGTTTGGCTTTATGGGATCCACAGAGACATAGATGTGTAGCTTTGAATTCACAAGGGCAATAGTCTAGAGATGTGGGTCTGCATGAAGCAAGAACATGATTTGAGAGTAGACTAGGAGAACTGAGTTTTGGTGACAGTAGCAGAAGCAAGCTGTTGTAAGAGAATCTTGGCTTGGGGGGCAAGCATGCATCCCATCCACAGAAACAACAAAGGGATGAAAGGACGCACGATTGGATTGGACTTGCAAGGGGCTATATACTTGACAATTTTGTCACTAGCTGTTATACTACCGGTAGCTCGCAGAGGACGGTTCCGGCATGCACCTCGGCCAATGCCGGTACACAGCTAAGGGAAACGTAAACCCTGTGGTTCGACAACATTTCATCACCCGCACATGGCCCTCTCGCCACCCGCCGGCACCTAAAATGCAAACATGGCCTCTGTATCATGTTTGCTCCGTCCCGTTCGTTCCGTTGGAACTGGGCATCTCAATAACCCATGGATCTAGACTGAGGAAACAAAGGAAACTAAATATAACAAGCTTTAGAAAACCAAAGCTGTCTTTTCAATCTGTTCTGTCCTGAAGTCCTATCCTTGTCACCCACTTGTTCCCCTCTAATATATAAACTCACAATGCATACGTATCTTGTACACCGGGATAGTGCAGCAGCTCTAGGAGCCTGTCCATTTTTGCACCCAGGACAATTTGGTGCCTTCCCATCTCGTTGAACTTCCTATCCATTTCTGCTAACCTTTTGCGGTTCACCTCATTCATTTCGTCAATTTTGGTCTCAAGAGCTGTTTGCTTTGCAACCAGTTCTGCATAGTCGTTTTCTGGGCTGAAACGTGCACGCTCTTGTTGGTAGTGACTGCTATAACTGATATCCAAAGCATCATCCCTGCGGTTGCGGACCACCCTTGTTCCATTCCCTGTGTTGTGACTGAAATGACTGATATCCAAATCATTATCCCTACGGTCCCTGCGGTTGCGGACCACAAAAGTATTGGCCCGTGGTGGCATTCCAATGATGGGTCCATGCATCCTATTCATCACCTTTACCTGATCTGCACAGTGAAACCAATTCTTCTTCTCTGCATACACAGTAATGAAACTCACAATCACGGCAACAGCCATGGCTCCGTAATGCACAAGGAAGGTTCCTGCCATTTGTTGAAGTGTCAAGGTATCAGCATCAATATTGTCACCAGTATCTGATCCAGATGAAGCTAATCCGCCACTCTTCAGAATCCTGTGTTTTTTGTCTGGGCCGGCACCTCTATGTCGTGACTTTGGCTTCTGACTCTCATGGAAACGAAGTTGTCGGCGTGATTGGACGTTGCTGTCATCCTGATACTGACAGTGACCATCGTCTTCCAATTCTCTGTACTTGTTCCAGATTGCTGCCATCACTCCTTCCTCAATTAAAGATGTAAGATGTAGATTGACAACGCGACGGACCAAACTGCTGCACTTGTCACCAACATCAGCCACAACTGCAAATCCAGCATCTACAACCTTCACTGTATCCCCAATCAACTCTAAATCACAGTTCGGATTGTGGTCTTCATCCAACTGCTTTGTCAACCAAGTGTCTTTGCCAATCACAGCCAAGGCACATTCACCATTTCTAAGTGAGTCAAATGATGCCATGTCATTTTCCCTAGGCTTCCGGTTTGCTTTTGGGAAAGTCTCTCGGATGTAGAAGTCTGAATTTGTATTCTCATAAGTGCAGACAGGGTAGCCAAAAACCACAGCTTCCTCCATTGATTCCACCAGGCTGGGATCGACTCTGGCCTCCACAAAGAGCGAGGCAAGATTTGCTGTGTATGTGGCTGTAATGACAAGTGCCCACAGTGTCATGCTGACTCCAAATATTCTTCCTGCGAAACAGCTGGGGGCATACTCAAAGTTCTGGGAGAAATTGATGGCACTCAGGTAGAGGTTATCGGAAAACCATTGGTAGAGGGATCGCTCTTCTTGTTCTCCATTCAGGTATTCGATCAGCTGGTAGACCATGGCGGAAACAATAACTGTAAGAACGATCATCCCCCAAACTGCAGGTTCAAAGGGTTTGGTCCAGTTGAGTGGATTGATTGTGTTGGTTCCATCATTATTGGATTTCCTTCTGTCAATCAGAATCAGGCTGCCATCGTACCATGGCACTGTGTAGGTGACACCCATAGCCATCCTTTCTGCAGAATGATCCCAATCATTGATGGCGATGTCATAGTTTTCAAGGCTCCAGAGCAGAAGCTCAGTCCATGTAAGGTTGTATGTTCTGGCAACTTCTGTGACCCCAAAGGAGGCTCGCCACGTAAAATTGGCTCTTTCTGCAATGGCATCTAATAATTCCACCATAATACCAGGGTAGTCCTTGTCAATTCCTTCTTCATGACTGTACTTGAAGTTGGAAGAGAGCGCGTCTTCAATTGTGAATATTGGCTTCAAGGAAAGACCAGAAAGAGCACCCTTGAGCTCAATCTCTCCAGCACGATACCTGTCGTATCTGTCACACACGTGCTGCCTATGGCTGATCTGGCTTGATGATAATGGTGTTATTCGATAAGCAGCTTTCTCTCCACCAAGGCTGTGGGTAGTGGAGAGACAGAACAAGAGGCAGAGAAGGTACATGTACAGGCAAGTCGTCATCATGGTTGTAACACTTTTGAATCGGGTTTACTATGGATTAGAGAGAGCTAAGATGAGGATGGAGACAGAGGTCATACAACCACTCGAGTGTGGTTTTCTTGAAGTGTGGCCGAGAGCGTTCGTCGCAAGGAGGATGGCCAGCCACTGATTGAAAGAAAAGCAGCTTCCAGTTATTGTTGTGTAAGTAGAGGTCATCTGCAATGCTAAAAAGTCATCGGAAAGAGAGATGACAAATAAATGACACTCGATGTGTTAACACGTGGGTCCAGCGCAGTAAAACAGCTTTGAAATGCAGGTAGATGCGGTAAACATATTTTTTCATTAAACGTTAATAGTAATATTCAACTGGACATTTACCTTATCATTCATTACCTTAGCTACCTTACTAAATCGGACTTGTGGATACCGGTTCGAGCAGCAGTACCTTCCTACGACGCAAGGAACAATGGAACAGATCAATTCCAATGTTGTCGGCTCCAAAACTTCACACCGGTGTATACCGGCACTACTGTACAGCTGTAGCAGGGGGGTCATGATGCACTGCCTCATTGTGGTCCAAGATTTTCCACATGTGGAAGCACTGAGCTTTCACTTGGTTGCAAGGTGTCTCAGCGACGAGGAGCCATGGATAGCGGATGAAGGATTGAGGCTACAAAAATTTGCGCCCAAATCTCCTGTAGAAATATACCTTCCCCCTTTTTCCACTCCAAACCGCTCCGCTTTGGCTGCTTACGAGTACGGTATGGTACCGGTAGAGTGCTACATGATGGCTTGTGGCACGCCACTGACTGAAGATTCTGATGATGACAGAGGGCGGCCGTGCACTTTCCTCTTTGCTTGATGTCGACTTACTATGCAATGGTGTGCCCATACTCAATTGGAGTGGTACGGTACTTTCCCTCCAAGACCTTGAGGCAAAGGGTCAGGTATTACGGTATCGTCCCTGGTATCGTACTGGTACAAACCATCGAAGCGCCACGGAGGAGAACCTTGGAGTTCATGTTGCTTGATATATATCATTCGATTCGATTCGATTGTCGATCGATCATTGGACTCAATTATTCGATTCAAATCGAATCGAATCGAAGACACACACAATGGCACCTCGACGACGGCAATCGTCTTCTTTCGTCCAAGCCATAAGTTAGCTCTTGCTATAGCAATCCACAGACAGCAATAAGATCAATACGCTGCCGTACAGTACAGTATTCACCATGAGCAGCGGTAGTCCCACTATGGAATCCGAAGAGGAGTTGATGGTGCGTCTACAGTCTCAATTTGGAGACTTGGACTTGACCAATTTATTGCTTGCAGGCAACACTGGTACTACTAGTAACAACAAAGAGAGCGACGACGAGAGCAGTAGCTGTGCGGCAGAACCCACTCCGGAAGAACTTCGTGCCTGGCAAGAAGCCCAATACCAAAAGGGCCAAGCGGCATTACAAGCCAAGCGAGACGCGACCAAGAGTGCCGTCCAACGTCGTCGTGAATGTCTAAAAGAAGAGCAAGAGGATGATTGGGAACAAGTTCCGGCGTTGCCGCAATTATTGAACCAGGAATCCGTCTTTTTTCCACGCAATGAAAAGGAAACGGAGATTCTGGGAGTGCATCCCCTGTTGCAGCAATTGTGTACCCAAAGTAGCGCCGCGGATATTTTGGGCACTCCATGGCACCTGCTGTACTCGAGTGCCCAAGGTGATGGACTCTCCTTTCTTCGTCTCATGGCCAAAGTTCAAGGATATCCCGGACCTACCGTTCTGTTGATGGGAGCAATCCCTTCCCCCAGTAAGGCGTTGCATAGTTCCAACAAGACTACTTCTGCTTCTACTACGACCATTGGTTTCTTTACCACTTCTCCCTGGACAGAATCCAACACCATGACGGGATCTTCCGATTGCTTCTTGTTTGCCTTTCAAGAAGAAGACAGCAGCACTGACAATAATAAGGTGCACTTTTTCCCACCCAAAAAGACAAACTCCAAGATCAAAGAACAACACTACATGTACTGCCATTCATCCTCCACCACGCGCCCCAAATCCAACACGGATATCCACGGCTTGGGAGTCGGTGGGAACGGAAGTAGTCCGGCACAACTGCGACTCTACTTGACGGAAACGTTGGAGGAATGTCGTGCTCTGGACTACTGCACGCTCTTTGAACCCGGCGATTTGTTACTGGGATCCGCCCAAGATTCTCTCAATTACTTTGACGTGACGGCACTCGAAGTCTGGGCCGTGGGAGGAGAGAAGTGGATAAAGGAAAGTCTTGCACAGCAAGCCAAACAACAAGCCATTGTAGATGCCAATCGAGCCAAGGCACGCTTGGTCGACAAACAACGTATCTGGAAGGAATGTTTTGAATCACAGCAACAACAAGCTTACGGAGGTGGCTCCATGTTGGCAGCTACGGTGCAGGTGGATGGATCGCGATGTGATGTGTAGTGCGCGGCGTTTTGTTTTGTTGGACGGCAACGAGTTGATTGATTGATTCAATCCACCCAGTAGGTACTATACGACCGCCACAACATGAGTGACGGTCGAGCCCGGAGCTAGATTTTGTCTGGTATGAAACCCACCAACCAACCAACCGATCGATGTGGGCGGTCGATCCAGAATTTTGTACATGTGCCCCCCTTTTTGCAAAGAGGCCGTCGTCGTGTCCTCGTAAAAGTATCTATATTTGAGCGACTCGACTCGGTCTGTGGAAGCTTTGTTTCAACGGACCGAGCTAGCTAGAGTAAGGAAGTGGTTGCAAGGAATAGCATCATACGGTACTAAATTACGACCCCAATTCATTCCATAACCAGGGCATTGCGGTTGCATAAGTCGACAACGATGAGTGCAAGTAAGCAGTGCAGGACCGCCCTCTGTCATCGGAATCTTCAATCAGCGGCGTGCCACAGCATGTACCGGTAGTACCAGGTACCATACCAGTACCGCACGCAAAGAGGAGCGAGTGACAGTCGAGTCGGAGGTGTGGAAAAGGGGGTAAATATATTTCTGCCTGCCTTGATTGGGCGCGCTGGGTTTTTGTAGCCTTCGTACGCCATCCATGGATTGTCCTTGACGTGTGGACGCCTTGCAACCAAGTGCATGTCCAGTGCTTCCGCGAGTCGAAGATAATGGGGCAGTGCAGCCAAGTCCACAGCACATGGTTACGGTGTGCCCTTTTCCCATCCTGGAGCCTGGCCCTCGTTGGCTACCTCCCTACCAATTTAGCCCCCCTTTTTGATCCTGACGCGGTGTGAAGTTTTTTACATTCGAGTCGATCGATTATTCGATCCGATTCGATTCATTCAACGCTGTCCAGGTACCTGGTACCAGTACAGTCGTACAGTGTGTAATTGCCTGTAGGCGCCAGACCACGTCATTTCGGTGGGTTTTTAGTGTTTTTACGCTGTAGATGACCTCGAAGAACTTGCTCGAGCACCTCCCGGTTGCCATCTACGAAGCCGACTTCATCGATCGGTGGAGCAGTAGGCAATCATCCTTACAAGAGTCACCGTCAACGCACACTTCATGTAAAATACAACCATGATGAGGACTTGCATGTACCTTCTCTGCCTCTTGTGCTGTCTCTCCACTACCCACGGCCTTGGTGGAGAGAAAGCTGCTTATCAAATAACACCCCTATCGTCAAGCCAGATCAGTCATAGGCAGCATGTGTGTGACAGATACGACAGGTATCGTGCAGGAGAGATTGAGCTCAAGGATGCTCTTTCTGGTCTTTCCTTGAAGCCAATGTTGACAATTGAAGAGAGTCGCTCTTCCAACTTCAAGTACAGTCATGAAGAAGGAATTGACAAGGACAACCCCGGTATTATCGTGGAGTTATTTGATGCCATTGCAGAAAGAGCCAATTTTACTTGGCGAGCCTCTTTTGGGGTCACTGAAGTTGCCGGAACATACAACCTCACATGGACTGAGCTTCTGCACTGGAGTATTGAAAACTATGACATCTCCATCAATGATTGGGATCATTCTGCCGAAAGGATGGCTATGGGTGTCACCTACACAGTGCCATGGTATGATGGGAGCCTGATTCTGATTGACAGAAGGAAATCCAATAATGATGGAACCAACACAATCAATCCACTCAACTGGACCAAGCCCTTTGAACCTGCAGTTTGGGGGATGATCATTCTGACTGTTATCATTTCCGCCATGGTCTACCAATTGATCGAATACCTGAATGGAGAACAAGAAGAGCGATCCCTCTACCAATGGTTCTCTGACAACCTCTATCTCAGTGCCATCAATTTCTCCCAGAACTTTGAGTATGCCCCCAATAGCTTTGCAGGAAGAATATTTGGAGTCAGCATGACACTTTGGGCCCTTGTCATTACAGCCACATACACAGCGAATCTTGCCTCACTCTTTGTGGAGGCCAGAGTCGATCCCGGCCTGGTGGAATCAATGGAGGAAGCTGTGGTTTTTGGCTACCCTGTCTGCACTTATGAGAATACAAATTCAGACTTCTACATCCGAGAGACTTTCCCAAAAGCGAACCGGAAGCCTAGGGAAGATGATATGGTGTCGTTGGAGTCACTCAGAAATGGTGAATGTGCCTTGGCTGTGATAGGCAAAGACACTTGGCTGACAAAGCAGTTGGATGAAGACTACAATCCAAACTGTGACTTAGAGTGGATTGGTGATACAGTGAAGGTTGTAGACGCCGGATTTGCAGTTGTAGCTGATGTGGGTTTCAAGTGCAGCAGTTTGGTCCGTCACGTTGTCAATCTACATCTTACATCGCTAATTGAGGAAGGAGTGATGGCAGCAATCTGGAACAAGTACAGAGAATTGGAAGACGATGGTCACTGTCAGTATGAGGATGACAGCAATGTCCAATCACGCCGACAACTTCGTTTCCATGAGAGTCAGAAGCCAAAGTCACGACATAGAGGTGCCGGCCCAGACAAAAAACACAGGATTCTGAAGAGTGGCGGATTAGCTTCATCTGGATCAGATACTGGTGACAATATTGATGCTGATACCTTGACACTTCAGCAAATGGCAGGAACCTTCCTTGTGCATTACGGAGCCATGGCTGTTGCCGTGATTGTGAGTTTCATTACTGTGTATGCAGAGAAGAAGAATTGGTTTCACTGTGCAGATCAGGTAAAGGTGATGAATAGGATGCATGGACCCATCATTGGAATGCCACCACGGGCCAATACTTTTGTGGTCCGCAACCGCAGGGACCGTAGGGATAATGATTTGGATATCAGTCATTTCAGTCACAACACAGGGAATGGAACAAGGGTGGTCCGCAACCGCAGGGATGATGCGTTGGATATCAGTTACAGCAGTCACTGCCAACAAGAGCGTGCACGTTTCAGCCCAGAAAACGAATATACAGAACTGGTTGCAAAGCAAACAGCTCTCGAGACCAAAATTGACGAAATGAATGAGGTGAACCGCAAAAGGTTAGCAGAAATGGATAGGAAGTTCACCGAGATGGGAAGGCACCAAATTGTCCTGGGTGCAAAAATGGACAGGCTCCTAGAGCTGCTGCACTATCCCGGTGTACAAGATACATATGCATTGTGAGTTTATGTATTAGAGGGGAAGAAGTGGGTCAGATGGATTGGACTTCAGGACAGAACAGAATGAAAAGACAACTTTTGTTTTCTAAATTTTATTTAGTTTACTTTTGTTGCCCCGGCGCTAGCTAGATCCATGGGTTATTGGCGTACCCAGCCGGCAGTTCCAACGGTGCGAATGGGACGGAGCAAACATGAAACAGAGGCCATGTTTGCGTTAAAGGTGCAGGCGGGTGAGGATTGGGCGATGTGGGTGATGACGTGCGACCCAAAAGTTGCCGTTTGCTACAGGTATTGGCCCGATTGCATGCCAGAACTCGAGCCACCAGCAGTTGCAGTTGGGTTATAGGAGCTGTCACCCGGTGGATGCTAGCTAGAACCAGAACCTACCGCAGCCACTGCTTTGCCTCGCTTCGCCTCCCTCGCTCCTTAACGTATCTATTTAGTATTTGTTTTTACTCTAGCTAGCTAGCTAGCTAACTAGTGCTGGTATCAGAGATCAGAGCACAGAGCATGAAGCAAAAGGAAGCGTTTTGGACTTTTGGACAGCTCCCTTAGAACTCCATAGCGAAAAAGGCTGATGGTGGTGTTGATAAAGAGGTTGCTATAGTGTTGTGTTACTACTTGGTTGTTGTGGTTGTGGTTGATTTTAGTAATCTGGTAATCTGGTAACTGGATAGTCATAAAAGCTTGGAATGCCTCTGGGACATGTGTTTCGTTTTCTGCGGGCTGACTCGCAGTCATACAGCATTACCGATCCGAGAGTTAGATGGTCAAGTTCCCGCTAATCTTTTGACAGGGGACACTGATGACATCTCACATATTTGTGAGATTGGATGGTATGATTGGGTTTGGTACCTCTCTCCTGAGAGACAGGGCGAGTCAATGGAAAGGAAGCGCCTTGGTCGCTACTGTGGCCCCAGCAATGACATTGGGGACGTATGTGGTGCCCGAATTCTCACCGAGAAAGGCCAGTTGGTCTCTAGGACATCAGTCATCCCCTTATCAGACCAGGAGAAGCTGAGCCCGGTGATATGAATCACAAGAAGGCAGCATTCACAGAATCCTGTGAAGAAGTCCCTTGGCAAGCGTTATGTTTTGGCACAGCAGTGATGAGTGCTGAATCTCGTCAGGATTAAGAGATACCAGAGATTATGAGCCAATTGATGATAGAGCCAGCTCCTCTGCCAGAGTTGATCAGAAGCAGATGAGATGCAACATGAGGCCTTTCGATAAGTACATTGCAACCGTGTTTGGTCCCACAGGGAGCCAAATGTCTTATTGCACAGTCACCAAGCGCAAAGAAACTACAGATGGAAAACTGATTGGCTTTCGAATTCTAACCCATTGCTTGATACTTCCCTTTTTGAGGTGGAGTTTGACAGTGTGGAGACCGAGGCCTACTGTCCAACATCATTGCAGATTATCTATGCTCAGGTGGATTATGACGGCTACACTTTGTTTTGAATTGGCGGATATCTGACAATGCGAAGGATGGACACGCTGTTTCAGGGGACGACGCCTACATCAATCGGAATGGCAGGAAGACATTGCGACGGACCACCAAAGGGTGGAAACTTTTGTGTCAGTGGGAGGATGGGACCACCTCATGGCAGTCCTTAAGGACATGAAAGATGGTTACTGATCCAGACGGCAGAGTATGCCAGAACATGGCTTGGAAGTCAGAGCCAGCTTTCTTTGGTGGGTCCCTTACACCCTCAAGAAGCTGAATCTGGATTATCTCTGCTGTGCGAAGCGTTACTTTCGCAAGGAAAGAAATATGGGGTTGAGCTCCCAAACGGTGGAGCATGCCCTTAGATTGACAAGGAACTGGTACAACCTTTTGGCATGATGCATTAAGAAAGAGATGGCAGCCGTCGGCAAAGCTTTTGAAATCCTGGAAGAGGATGCCCCTGACCCAGTCGGACACACTCACATCCGTTGTCACATGGTCTTTGATGTTAAAAGCGACTTTACAAGGAAGGCACGTCTGGTTGCTGGGGGGCATATGACCGATCCTCCTTCGTCCATCACCTACGCAGCGTTGTCAGTCGAGAGAGTGTACGACTGGCCTTCTTGATTGCAGCCTGAACGATCTGGACATATTGGCCGCTGATATTGGCAACGCATATTTGAATGCCCCAGTTCGAGAGAAGATCTTTATACACATGCGGTAAGGAATTTGGCCCATTTGAGGGACGCAAAGCAAAGGTCGTCAAGGCTCTGTATGGCCTCAAATCAAGTGGAGCAGCATGGAGGGCCCACTTAGCTGATGTTCTGCGAGACAACCTGGGGTTCACCTCTTGTAAGGCAGACAATGATGTCTGGTTTCGTCCGCCACCAGGCCTGATGGAAGGGAATACTATGAGTATATCTTGTATACACAGACGATCTCCTTTGCCTGTCAACTAACCCAAATACCTTACTCTGCTACCTGGATCAGCATTTCCTGCTGAAGCCAGGATCCCTGGGAAAGCCAACTCAGTATCTTGGAGCTTCAGTCAAGGAGTACAATGTCCCTGGCGTTGACAAACCATGTTGGTCAATGGGATCTGAACAGTATGTCAAGGAGGCTGTCAGAAATGTGGAGACATGGCTCGAGCAACGTGGGAAGACGCTCAAGTCAAAAGCAACTTCAGTTTACCGAGCAATTACACCCCGGAGTTGGATGTTTCAAACCTTTGTGATGACGAGTGGACAAATTACTTTCAACAGCAGATTGGAGTGCTACGATGGGCCGTGGAACTCGGGAGAATTGACATCTGCACCGAGGTTTCAATCATGGCTTCGTACTGTGCAGCCCCACGAGTTGGGCACCTGGACGCTGTGTTTCATATCTTGGCATATCTCAAGCAGCACAGTCGTTCTCACCTTGTTTTTGATCCTTCCTATGTGAATCATGTGGAACCAGAGCGACCTGACTGGAGTGATTTCTATGCCGATGCGAAAGAGCTTTTACCTCCAGACATGCCGAAGCCTCTCGGCAAACCAATCCAAATCACCATGTTTGTGGATTCTGACCATGCTGGGACAAGGTGACACGTCGTTGCGTACTGGTGTGCTCGTCTTTGCTAACATGTCTCCAATTATTTGGTACAGCAAGAAGCAGGGCTCCATTGAAACTTCCTCCTTTGGATCTGAGTTCGCGGCGATGAATGTTGGAATCGAGATCGTGGAGGGCTTGCGGTACAAGCTCAGGATGATGGGAGTTCCCCGTGATGGCCCGGCTCACGTCAAGGCGGACAACATGTCCGTGATCAAGAACTCGAGCATCCCGGAGTCTACTTTGAAGAAAAAGAGCAACTCGGTCGCATACCACTATGTCCGTGAAAGAGTCGCTGCAGGAATGGCAAACATCACTTATGAGAACACAGAGAGCAATTTGCCGATATGTTGACGAAGATCCAGAACGGGCCTGTGAGGCAGCGACTGGTTTCGAAAGTCCTATACTAACAATCTGCAAAAAGGCAACATGACCATAGGGTGGGCCGTTTGTGAACGGCAGGTCTGAGCCTCCAAGGGGCCATGCCCCAAGGGTACATCCTGTTTCAGACTTCCGAAGTCTGTTTTCCCATGTCAAGTGCAATCTAGCGTGAGATAGATCCCCCTCTAGCTTGAGGGGACCGAAAATGACCTGTGGTAGCGA